TGACCCATCCCTTCCACCATTCTCTGCCCTTCCGCATCTTCCCAGCCCTGACCCATCCCTTCCACCATTCTCTGCCTGTCCCCATCTTCCCAGCCCTGACCCGTCCCTTTTCCCATTCTCTACCTGTCTCTGTCTTCCCAGCCCTGACCCGTCCTTTCTCCCATTCTCTGTCCCCATCTTCCCAGCCCTGACCCGTCCTTTCTCCCATTCTCTGTCCCCATCTTCCCAGCCTTGACCCGTCCCTTCTCCCATTCTCTGCCTGTCCCCATCTGCCCAGCCCTGACCCGTCCCTTCTCCCATACTCTGCCTGTCGCCATCTTCCCAGCCCTGACCCGTCCCTTCTCCCATTCTCTGCCTGTCCCCATCTTCCCAGCCCTGACCCGTCCCTTCTCCCATACTCTGCCTGTCCCCATCTTCCCAGCCCTGACCCGTCCCTTCTCTCATTCTCTGTCTGTCCCCATCTGCCCAGCCCTGACCTGTTCCTTCTCCCATTCTCTGCCTGTCCCCATCTTCCCAGCCCTGACCCATCCCTTCTCCCATACTGTGCCTGTCCCCATCTTTCCAGCCCTGACCCATCCTTTCTCCCATACTGTGCCTGTCCCCATCTTCCCAGCCCTGACCTGTCCCTTCTCCCATTATCTGCCTGCCCCATTTTCCCAGCCCTGACCCGTCCCTTCTCCCATTCTCTGCCTGCCCCATCTTCCCAGCCCTGATCCTGTTTATCACCCCCAGCTGAGCCCCGGAGGGCTGATGGAGGCGGTCGTGGGGACTGGCAAGCAGATCCCAGACAGAGGTTCTGTCAGGTCTGAAGATGAATCGATGGAAGCTAAGAGAGAGAGACCCTCGGTACGGAGTGGGAGGAGAGTCCCTCAAGAAAGAAGGTCGGTTAGAGGAACAGGGTCGAGGGGCACAAGGAGCAGCTCCCCACATGTGTTTGGTTTGTCCTCCCCCAGGGCCCCGAGTCCCCTGTGCAAGGCCCCCGCATCAAACACGTCTGCCGTCATGCTGCTGTGGCTCTGGGTCAGGCCCGGGCCATGGTGCCCGAAGACGTCCCCCGTCTCAGTGCCCTCCCTCTCCGGGATCGGCAGGACCTCGCCACAGAGGGTAGGGGGTGTTGTGGGGAGTCTTGCCAGCTGGGTCAGGTTTGGGGTTGAGCAGGTGTGAATGCCCAGGAGAGTGGGAGCTGAGTCAGGTCCTGGGGGCTGGGTGACGAGTGGGTTGGAGTGCTAGGTCTTCCACCAGGTTTCTGTAGGGGCACCTGGAAGCCGAACAGTGGGAGCCAGAGGGCCGACTGTATGGGGCCGTGGCTCTGTGGCTCCACGCCTTCTTCTCTGTCTGCTGCAACAGATACGTCATCAGCATCTGAGACTGAGAGTGTCCCTTCACGGTCCCGGCGGGGAAAGGTGGAGTCAGCGGGGCCTGGGGGGGACTCGGAGCCTGCAGGATCTGGAGGGACCCTGGCCCATGCGCCCCGGCGCTCGCTGCCTCCCCACCACGGCAAGAAGATGCGGATGGCACGGTGTGGGCACTGTCGGGGCTGCCTGCGTGTGCAGGACTGTGGGTCCTGTGTCAACTGCCTGGACAAGCCCAAGTTCGGGGGCCCCAACACCAAGAAACAGTGCTGTGTGTGAGTAACTGGGATGCAGCCTCCGTTCCCACCCGTGCTTGTCTGTCACCCAAGCTCCCACCCCAGCCCTCCTCGTGCCCAGTCAGAGCGGTGGGATTGGCATCCTTGTGGAGAGCTTCCTCTCTTCCCCCAGACCACCAGTCCCCTACCCTGGTGACGTGCTGCTCCCCTCCCCAGATACCGGAAGTGTGACAAGATAGAGGCTCGGAAGATGGAACGGTTGGCTAAAAAAGGTAACGAGGTCTGAGGAGCGTTTCTCGACAAAACCTTGCTTAGATCCGTGGCGCGGAGGAAACCGTGTTTTCGTTGCTTCCCTCCACTCATGTGTCTTTGCGATCCGCGCCCGCTGTCCTCTCTGTTGTGTGCTTCTGTCGTCTCCTGTGCTTTGCTTTCTTTGTGCCACTTTGTTTCCGGCTCTCCCCCCACCCCAGCTTTGCCTCTCTCTGTCCCCCGGCTGAGCTCAAATCCCACCAAGTCCCCTGTTCCCACAGGCCGGACGATAGTGAAGACGCTGTTGCCCTGGGATTCCGATGAATCTCCTGAGGCCTCCCCTGGTCCTCCAGGCCTGCGCCGGGGGGCGGGATCTGGGGGGCCCCGGGAGGAGGTGGTGGCCCCCCCAGGGCCCGAGGAGCAGGACTCCCTCCTACTGCAGCGCAAGTCAGCCCGGCGCTGCGTCAAACAGCGACCTTCCTATGATATCTTCGAGGACTCGGACGACTCGGAGCCTGGGGGTCCCCCTGCTCCCCGGCGTCGGACCCCCCGAGAGAATGGTGCGAGTTGCTTACTGCTTTCTCTGTCAAGAAGTTAGTCCTGTGTCTGGAGGGGGCAGGGCTCCCAGGCCAGGCTCATCAGTCTGATAGAGAAGGCGGTTGAGGGCAGAAGGGGGAGGTTTTAGGGTGGGCACAGGACCGGTGTGAGGTTTTCAGGGCATTTATTGGGCAAGGCCTAAGACTTGTCCTAGTGGGTCTCGGTTAGTTAAAAAAGCCTTGGGAACCTGAGTGATACTTGCCTGGGGTAGCAGAAGCAGAAGGGCGTGGGGCAGGGAAGCTGAGGGACCTCACTGCTGACGGGTTCTTCCTAGAGCTGCCAGTGCCAGAACCAGAGGAGCAGAGCCGGCCTCGTAAACCCACCCTGCAGCCTGTGGTGCAGCTCAAGGCCCGAAGGCGCCTGGACAAGGTCAGCGTGGCCCCGCACCGAGAGCCCCCAGGTTCCGTGTAAGGCAAGGCCCCCGTCTGCCAGGAGCTGCCTGGCAAGTCAGGGCATTGGGCACACCTGAGTGCCGTGGCGTGTCCACACCAGAGTTGAGGCCCTTAGGGACATGGTGGGCCTGCCGGTGTGGGGAGCAGGGCTGCCTGGAGGAGACGGTGGCACCATCTGCAGAGGGTGGGCTAGCCGCCTTCTGACCACCACCGCCACCCCTCTGTAGGATGCTCTGGCCCCTGGGCCCTTTGCTACTTTTCCCAATGGCTGGACGGGAAAACAGAAGTCCCCAGATGGCGTGCACCGAGTCCGTGTGGATTTTAAGGTACGGCGTGGAGGAGAGGCTGCAGGGGCTGTGGATCGCATCAGAGGAGCCGGGGCTTTAAGGAGGGGTCCGGCTTGTGTTCCTAGCTGCGCCCTCGTCCTATGTCCTCTCTTCCCGCAGGAGGATTGTGACCTGGAGAACGTGTGGCTCATGGGTGGCCTGAGCGTGCTCACCTCCGTGCCAGGGGGACCGCCAATGGTGTGCTTGCTGTGCGCCAGCAAAGGCCTGCACGAGGTGAATTCTCTGCCTCTCTGCACAAACCCCCCAACCCCTGTTGGCTTTTAGTGCTGGATTTCTTGCCCCCCCTCAGCGGGCCTCACCCCCTGCTCTTCCGACTTCACACCGTGCCTGTCCTTTCACCCCCAGCTGGTGTTCTGCCAAGTCTGCTGTGACCCTTTCCATCCCTTCTGCCTGGAGGAGGCCGAGCGGCCCCTGCCCCAGCATCACGATAGCTGGTGCTGCCGCCGCTGCAAGTTCTGCCACGTCTGTGGGCGCAGAGGCCGGGGCGCCAAGGTGTGGGCGCGGGCGCCGGGGCGCCGAGGGGTGG